GCAGCCCTTGAAACTGTTTATAAGATTCAATGAAATTATAAAGTAGAATGATTGAATATGAATATTGTCTGTATTCTGAAATAGTCAGTTCAGTTGCGGGCGCTACATCCGAGTGAAGAAGAAATGAGACAATCATATTGGAGTTGGCCACAGGATCGCCCTGCTGTTGTCTCGGCAGAGTCAATTCCTTCTTCATGTGCTGATCTTGATGAGTTGAACAAGCTGGTAAGCTTGTTGAGGTCTGAGTTGTTTCAAGTAAAGCAGGAAAATGACGTCCTTGAGTTAAAGGTCATACGGATGGAAAAACTTTTGGACCACTGTTTAGGTCCTTAGTTTGAGCAAGAAGTAAGGAGGGACCTAGCTTTATTGAAAGAGAGGACGAATCGTTGTGCCATCTCACATCTATTTTAGGGATGTGAGGAAATGGATGACATTGAATGGGATGAAGGGCCAAGTAACAGATATGAGGGAGAGGAAAAGGATGAGGAGGGGATTGAAGGGGGTGAAGTGCAAAGAAAACCAAGTGAGGTAGAGGAAGCGCAAAGGAAAAGAAGTGACGGAGAGCAAGTGAAAATAAAAAGCAGCAAGGGAGAGGAAGCGCAAAGAAAGAGCAGTGAGGGAGAGGAAGTGAGATATGAGGGAGAGGAAAAGGACGAGGAGGGGATTGAAGGGGGTGAAGTGCAAAGAAAACCAAGTGAGGTAGAGGAAGCGCAAAGGAAAACAAGTGAGGGAGAGCAAGTGAAAATAAAAAGCAGCAAGGGAGAGGAAGCGCAAAGAAAGAGCAGTGAGGGAGAGGAAGTGAAAAGAAGAAGCAATGAGGGAGAGGAACTGCAAAGAAAGAGCAGTGGGGGAGAGGAAGTGAAAAGAAAAAGCAATGAGGGAGAGGAACTGCAAAGAAAGAGCAGTGAGGGAGAGGAAGTGAAAAGAAAAAATAGTGAGGGAGAGGAACTGCAAAGAAAAAGCAGTGACGGAGGGGAACTGCAAAGAAAAAGCAGTGACGGAGGGGAACTGCAAAGAAAAAGCAGTGACGGAGGGGAACTGCAAAGAAAAAGCAGTGACGGAGGGGAACTGCAAAGAAAAAGCAGTGACGGAGGGGAACTGCAAAGAAAAAGCAGTGACGGAGGGGAACTGCAAAGAAAAAGCAGTGACGGAGGGGAACTGCAAAGAAAAAGCAGTGACGGAGGGGAACTGCAAAGAAAAAGCAGTGACGGAGGGGAACTGCAAAGAAAAAGCAGTGACGGAGGGGAACTGCAAAGAAAAAGCAGTGACGGAGGGGAACTGCAAAGAAAAAGCAGTGACGGAGGGGAACTGCAAAGAAAAAGCAGTGACGGAGGGGAACTGCAAAGAAAAAGCAGTGACGGAGGGGAACTGCAAAGAAAAAGCAGTGACGGAGGGGAACTGCAAAGAAAAAGCAGTGACGGAGGGGAACTGCAAAGAAAAAGCAGTGACGGAGGGGAACTGCAAAGAAAAAGCAGTGACGGAGGGGAACTGCAAAGAAAAAGCAGTGACGGAGGGGAACTGCAAAGAAAAAGCAGTGACGGAGGGGAACTGCAAAGAAAAAGCAGTGATGGAGAGGATCCGCAAAGAAAAAGAAGGGAGGGCAAGGAAGTGAAAAGAAAAAAAAGTGAGGAAAAGGAAGTGCAAATAAAGGAATGTGAGGAAGCGGATGATGAAGTTGTTTTGGTTTATGATGACATTGGTGAGAGCACGGCGGGGACAACTGTTGAGTTTACTCTTGGGGATATTGATTTGGATCAACCTACAGCTGTGCTATCTGAGTTGAACGTTTGGTTGAATGATAAAGGTAAAGCTGTGGAACAAGGGGTCCAATTACGAAAGAGGAAGAGGATTATTCCTATGTGGAAGATCATTGAAGCTAGTGAATTGGTGAAAAAAACTGTGCCAGAGACAACCCGACTTCGGATGTTAGACCCAATGAAGGCGATTCCGCATGATGATATGGTGAAATTGCTGAAACTTTGTTGGGAATGGCGCCATAACCCAAAGTAAGTCCCTTGTTTTTTGAGATAGAAGGCATTAGTGTATATATTTTTAAATTGTTGTGATCTAAAACTTTGTTATATTCACAGTTTAGTGATGCAATTTGGCCACGTGGAAGCTGAGATTGAATTCTTCGCTTCCCTCGTAAAAGCTGACGGTTGGCTGACAGGAGATGTAAGTTTAATTGATTATGCATTTGTTTTAATGTACATAGATTATGAGATTGACCAGAAAAACATGTGCAGCACATTGATTTGGGGTTGTATCTCATCCAGAAGCGACAACAAGATTTGGAGGTTGTAGAAATATCGAACTGGACAACAACCGATGTATTTTTCATGGTATGTCATAGGCCTTGACCAAGTGCAGTTAATAATTACAAATTAGCCATACTTGCTTTGTGGAGGTGTTTAACCCTTGATTGTTTTCTATTTCACATAATCACATCCATACTTGCTTTGCGAATAATAAAAGAAAAAAAGAGCAGGTTGGGTGGAAAATTAGAAACAGTTTACTGAACGTTGTAAATGGCAAGGTTCCGGCGTGTGGGATGGATTGACATAACGAGTATAGGGTGTATGCCCCTTGTATGTTGACGAAGTATAAGCATTGGGTGGCTCTAATGATTGATTTGGTTAAGTGTGAAATCAAAGTGTACGATTCAATGGTTTCACTTATTCCAGATGAGATCTTAAAGGAAGAACTCGCCCCGCTTTCAATTATGATTCCAAATCTTCTCAACACTATCGACTTTTATGAAGAAGGTGTTTACGCAAACGACTGCAGCAGAGATTGGTGGTGTCCTTGGCCAATAGAACGTGTGGATGTTCCACAACAATCTAATGAGTGAGCACAACCTTTTATTTAATTTTATTACTTGAAATTGTCAATTGCATTAGAATGTCATTACTTGAATTGATTGAGTTCTTGTTTTGCTTCAGAGGAGATTGTGGCATGTTCATGTTGAAGTACATTGAGCTTTTGAGCGCTGAGATTCCGTTAGCTACTTACACCTCGCAGAACATGCCCTTTTTCCGGTTGAAGTTGGCTGCAGAGATATTACGGGGAGATGCTTACATGCCATGATAGTG